CCTCCAGAGGTGGTGCAATCGCCTACCCTGGAAATCTTCAAGAGAAGACTGGACAGTCACCTTGCTGGGCTCACCTGGCCCCCAGTTGTCTTTCCTGCTTGGTGCAGGGGGCCGGACCCGATGATCTTGTAAGGTCCCTTCTGGCCTTACAGTCAATGAAAAAAAGTGCAAACCAGCATGGTGCTGCAGAGGTCAATGGAGCTATGCCCATTTATAACAACTTGATTTGGCCAGTTACTGCAAATCATTGCCAGTAAGCCAGAAGAGTTGTCATCTAGTTATCGCACTTCATTACATGGGATTATCACTGCCATTACATAGCTGTGAACTGAGTCACTGGAGCTGGAGTGACTCCAGAATTACAGAATTAATGTGAGGTCAGAGCCTGGGCCAGTGCTGAATATGTAAGCACTTTTTTGTACTTGGAAAAGAGAGTGCAGGGGGACGAGGCACAGGGGATGGCTGGGCCCAGTCCACTCCACAAGAGGGAGGAGATAGCTCCCAGCCCTGGCAGTCTGTGCTACGTGAGCAGCAGAGAGAGAGGAACCTCCCATGGCCTAGGGCCCGGCGGTCCCTGTTTTGGCCCCAACCTAGTGAAGAAAGAAGAATCTGGGGTCCTGCCCTGCTGGTCAGAGAGAGGGAAGAGCATCGGGCTTGGGTGGAGATCTAAGGGAGAAAATGCCTCAGGAGGAAAATGCTGGGGGCTGCCCAGTAGGGCTGTGCGAAGCTTCAGGTGGTGATTTGATTTGGAGGAGATTCGGCCTGATTTGGTGGCAGAGCCCTCCATGCAGCATGGGGCAGCAAGGATCGCCCCCCACCCGGCTGTACCAGCTGAGTTGGGGCTTTTTCTTTTTTAAACAAGTGCCAGGAGCTAGGTGCGGGGGGGAGCCATTGACAGGGCTGGGAGAGCAGGTGGGGATGGACCTGGTGTAGCTGATTTGGAGATTCGAATCTCTGAATCAGATTCAAATCACCAAACTGAATTACTGTCCTCCGAATCGTCCGAATCTGAAGCAAATACTAGCCACTTCACACAAGCCTACTGCCCAGCACTTGGACTTGGTTGCAACCCTGATCCCAGAGAGCCAAAAAATACTGGGAACAGGCTGCATCTCTGCTTTGGTGCCACTGGAGGCTGAGGGCAGGACAAGACTGATCAAGATCCAGGCAGGCAGTGCCAAACTCAGGCCTGGTCTACAGAGGAGCAACTCCACTGACTTACACCAGACCTGAACCTGGCATGACCACGATGCTGGCAGGGAAAGTACCCTGACCAAGGCAATATAATTAAAATGGCACTGCATTGTGGAGGGTTGCACCCTTGTCTGCTTGTTGACAGGACTCCCTACGAGAGCCTCATAGTTAGCTTCCCACTGGCCAGCGTCCAGTGGGAGCATCGTGGCTACACCTTGACTTTATGGAAACGGAAGACTCCTCCTTAGCTTGCTCCTGCGGCCATACGGCTGACGGCAAGTGAAACCTGGGGGCATCCAAATCCAAAGCCTCCAGGCTTGGCTCTGCACATAGGCTGCCTGCCAAAGAATTTGGAAGCATCTGAAGCCCCAGAGCCGGGCCACATACAGTTCTTGAATGACTCGTGGATTTGGAATTGATTTGGCTGATTTGACTTGGAACATGACAAATATTCCTTAACGCCCCCCGCCCCCCCAAAAAACAAACAAGCCCCTTGCCCAGACCAAACCAACAACACAAAACCCCACCAGACCTGAACTGGATCTGCAGGTTCTCCTTCAAGCGTGGCAGCCACACGAGGAGGCAGAAGGAAAAGTGACTATGCCAGAGATGGCTGTGATCATCATGTTTTTATTGACATCCAGCTGATTTTGTTGCCCCCCCCGCTGTCCTTTCCTCACTCAATCAACAGTCAAACATCCAGATTCTCTCCTTGGATTTGAGCTATTGTTCCAGGTGCCACATTTCCCTTTTACTCCACCTCCATGCAGCAGTGGCTGACAGCCCTTTTCCCAATCCATCAGTCTTTGTCATGTTTCAGACCTGCTGGTGCAGAACAGACACTAGAAAGTTTTGCACTAACCCCTCCAGGCCCTTACTCCTCACCAATATCATCCACCACAGGGAGACTGTCGTAGGATTTGAAGTCAGGGGTGCCCAGAGGTGGGGAGTCGGTATTGCTGAACCCCGAGACTGAGAGATGCTCCAATTGGGGCAGGAAGTCGGATATCCTGGGGCCACTGGGGCACTCCTCTGGCTTGCACATGCTGCAGTCTCGCAAGGAGCAGGGCTTCTCCTGCCAGAACTCACTGGCCTTTGGTTTCACTGTGATGTTTTCAGCCCAAACCACAAAGTACCGGATTCGCGCCTGTTTGTACTGCTCACACATACAGACCCAGGGCTGCCAGCTGTTCCAGTGGAAGAGCTGATACCCTGCGGAGAGTCAAATGAAGAAGGCAGCAGTGATGACAGGCTATGGAAGAGGGAGACTTTCAGGAGGCAGCAGCACACTACACTTGGCTGGTGTCTGCTGGAATCAATGGCAAAGCTCTTGCTGACTTCAATGAGGACAAGACCAAGCTTTTGCTCAGATCAGCAATCATCCCTAACTCAGAGCCAGGCGAGGGAATCAAAAGCCACCTGGCAACACACAAGTTAGCAAATTGGTTCTGGCATGCTGACTGCTACTGCTTGCACTAAAAGCCAATGAGATGGGAAAGGAAGGAACATGCCCATTGAAATCTTTGGAGGATTGCTTCTGTCCCCAAAATGGGCAGCAAACCCTTCTTCGACACTTTCCCAGTCTGTGCCATCCCACATCCGGAGCAATGTCACCTTTATCGGTGTAAGGAAAATTCACTCTCCAAGCCACTCAGCCTTTTGGCCTGTCTGCAGAGGCAGCCAACACAAAGCTCCAGCTTGGTGGTCTCAGTGAGATGATCGCTCACCTTGTGCAATCTGGTCTGAGACCCAGGAATCACTTCCTGCAGGTCACCCAGTAACCATTGATAGCAATATCTTTTAGTCATAGCCAACATGGGAAAAGTTCAAGCCAGAGATTTAGATGCCAGGTCTTCAAAGTCAGTTATTAATCAATGAGCCATCCAGGCCACCAGTAGATTAACTACCATATTTACTCAAATCTAAGACGATTCTCCCAAATAATTAGATTCTCTCCATGGAAAACGTAAAAAATTGTTTAAAAATTTCTGTGGCTAGACTCTAATTATTGGAGGGTGGTCTTTAGTTCATCCCTCCCACCACTGCAGGGGCAGACAATGAGGGGGCAGGTGGTGTGAGGTCATGCAGCTTGTCTCCTGCTTGTGCCTGTCCTCCTGCCAACTCTGCCCCCTCCCAGCCTCTGCTCCATGCAGGCAGGATCCATCCCAGTTCTATCCGGGGGCACTGAGCATGAGCCCTAGCCCAACCCCTGTAGCAGCCCTGTGGGCTGTGCACCACTGCCATGGGACTGGGCTGGGGCTGTGCTCAAGGCCCCAGGCTGCAGAGTGCATGGAGGCTGCGGCACAGAGTAAAGGTAAGGAGGGAGCAGACTGTGTAGGGCTGAGAGATGGGGAGAGGCTACAGGGGGGATAGGTCATGGTGCTGGGTGGGGGCAGGCAGCTGCTGCAGCTATTGCCCCAACCGTGGATAGGGGCTGGAGTCCAACCACAGCAGCCACCTGCCTCCCCAATGTCCTTGTATGCGATTCCAAGACAGGGGTGGAGAGAAACAGAGGAAAATAACTAGTCTTAGAATCAAGTATGTACAGTAGATGCTAAAGAGAGAACCAACTATCTTCTGCTTGGGTTTGGCCAAAATCATAAACTCTTTTGGGGAAGGGACCCAATTTTGGTTCTAGGTCTGCACAACACCTAAGAAGAGCTCCTACTCCCTGTCTGGGGCTCCTAGACAATGCACATGAACAGCAATTACCTACAGTCCGCCGTACACTGGCACCCCTAGCGCTCCCCAGCAGACAAAGCTCTGAGCTCAGAAAGAGCAGCATGATCAGAATCCTGCTCGTTACCGGGTGGGAATGGGACAAAGGCTTCGGTTGCACCACCAAATCCTCGATGCCCATAGCCCACCTGGAATGGATGGACTCTTAATAGGGGATGTTTACTTGTTCCCATAGCAACTGCTCCAGAGACAATTTAACAGCTCTTATTCCATGGAACACACGCAACTTTGGGTGCCAACTGGTTTTCATTCACAGATGTCAAGATCATCGGGCCCAAGCCCCACTGCACTTGAACAGGAAACTCAAGCAAGACCTAGCTGTTTTCAGACCTGGGAAGAGGCTGAGTGTGAACTGGAAGTTAGATTCCCCTTCCATGGCTTCCAGTAAAGAATGCCCCTCATTTTCTGCAGCTTACTCACTGGCTGACGCATAGCAGGAGACACTTCAAGAGAACTGTACCCCGGGGAAGTTTTGATCTCCCAGGGTTTGTGTGTACAGAAAGACAGTCTAATGCAGAGGAATGTGTCCAGTCCTGAGAGCCAGGACCCCTGGGCCAAAATGCTGCTTCCATCATTGATTCGCTGCATGGCCTCCAATAAGGCACTTAACTTTCCAGTGCTCCAGATGGTCAGGTGTAAACAGGGATAGCCTATGTGGCTGGGGCAGGATGGTTTACAGAGCATGCATTATTCCAAGGGGGAACTGTGAAGAGGTTTATGGCTTGAAGGCCCAGGGGTGACACTAGTGATGGTAGAAAAGCTGTCTGGAGTCCTGCCTTGTTAAACTGCCATGACAAAATGTTATTGCTGCCTTTTGGTATTACTTTGACTAATTCTCTCTCTCTCTCCCCCGCCCCTCATATTTGAATTTTCTTGGCTTCAAAAAATGAGGAAAATTTTGCAAACTCCATAAGCTCCGCACCATAATTGCTGTTTTTTTTCCTGCAAGCCATTAAGTCAAGGAAATGAGACTGACCAGTTGCAGTCCTTTTCACTTTCCATTTTTCAGGTGGTAGCTCAGTGTAACCCTGTCCTAGCTTCCAGCACTAGAAGAAAGTTTAAATTTCTAACCCCCATCAAAAAATCCTTTGACTTCTTATTAAAATACTTCCATTTATAATCTTGTAAAATTAAACTTTTAATTGATTAAGCTTTGTTTTAAAAAGTTAAGTTGTACAAGTGCCTAAAGAAGTTCAGTAACAATGATAGACAAGGGGCCAAATTTATACCTGGTATAAGCCCAAAGATATCTTGAGTCCAAGGTTTCTGAATCCACCTATTAACCAAGAAGGTTGGTCTACATTACTGAACCCCCAGAAGAGGGATCCATTGTCCAGGCTTTAGGCAAGAAAATATAAAACTACCACTCTTATTTTCAGAAAGGAGAATAAATCTTGCCATCTAATACACCTCACACAAGCTTCAACGTCTTCAATCTGATGCAATTAAAAACCCCCACCCTAAACAAACAACAACCGTGAGTCACTTGTCAACATACCATCCTTCCAGCTTTATAAACCAGAGGCAAACACAACTTTAAGACACTGCCAATCATCTTGTGGCTGAATGAAACATAAAAGGTGGGTTTCTGCTCATTTCAGGTCCAGATTAAATATGGCCCATCACCATTCTCCATGCAAAGATAATGGAGCAAAAGAAAACTGGATTTTTTTTTATTTCGTCAGGTTAGTTATTTCATGCAACGAGGTTTCAAAATCCCCGAAAGCAGGAACTTCGCTGTATAGCTCCCGTTGTGCTGTACAGGCCAAAGTCCAACTCCTTGTCCTAGAGTGCAAAGAGTCTGTATTAAATTCTTGATTGGCTTTTAAGAGGTGAGGGGAAAACTCTTGGTACGTGCCTATTTTAGCACACCCTATGGCTGATCTAATATGGGAACAGGACCAGTCATCTTGTTTTCTTAACCTTAACAGATGTCTCGAGTGAAGGAATGACTGTGACTGATCTCATACACTCATTCCATACCACTGCATGGGGAAGCGCACACATGCAGTCTTTCAGGAGCTTTAAGCCAGACAAACTTGAGACAATTCTTGCCATAACTGTGGCTCTCAATTCCACTGCATACATTTTGTGAGTGCCTGTGCCAGTGATGGACACTCGAAATCCTCTTCTCTAAAGATTCCTTTGTAGGCAAACCCAATCCTTTCCACCTCTTCTCATTACCCTGTATCCCAAGACTAATTGGGTCAGCAGCTTACACGATCGAGACTAGTATTTTAATTAGAAACTGTGCTGTAGAGTGGTTTGTCTTGATCCCTCTGCTGAGAAGCACTATTAAATCTGAAAAAGGCTGAGCGGGACAGATGCAGAAGATGGTGTGTCTTAGTTCCTCCTGACACTCTGGATGCCAAGTTCTAGAATCGAAAGAGAACTGATTAATTAAACAAAGTGAAAGAAACACTCCCCATCTTTCAAAGAGCCTTTTCATAGGCTGGTGGATCAGTGCTCTCCCAGTGCCACTGACCATTTTACTTTCACACTGCACTGCCGTAATCCAGCATGGTTTCTCTGAAGGGTGTAGGGTTCACTCAAACCCCAATGCTTCCCCGATTCATGCTTAGTATGCAGGAAAGAAGAAAACAGCACCTAATGTGCTCTCGGCCTCTTGCTCAGCAGTTAAATAATTCTCTTCTACACAGGTTTGTAGCTAGTCCTTACCAGATGGGAATGGGTCAGTGGGCTTCTCTTCCAGTGAAGTCCGCAGGTCCAAACTGCTCATTGTGGGGCTGCCAAAGGAGATGACATTTTCCCAGCCAACGAGGCAGTGCTGAGGGGAGAGAAGGGAGTCCTGGGTGAGAGCCCACTTTGTGCACCACAACCTGGTCTTTCCAAACACCACCTTCCCCAACAGGTGGTGGGGAGAGGCAGGAAGCTTGTACTTATTCATTTTAGGAACCTTACATGGCTGAAGAGAGAACGATGAGAAGATCTCCAAGGCCTCAAGGCCTGTGGCCAAACTTGCCATCACACTCCATGAGGCCAAACTATCCTCTTGCTCAGCCCTGAGCCCCCTTTGCTGGTTTCCAGCCATCCCCAAATCCATTTCTCTGCTTGCCTCCTGCCCTGGGTGAACATGGTGCCTCTCTGACCTCATCCCTATAGGCTCAGCTCGCTCAGGCTCCATTTTGGCTCCTGTCCGTCTCTTCATAGCAACTCTCCTGTACATTCAATCACACTACCTTGAGCATTGCTTGCTGGTTACAGCACTGCATGGGGACTTGGGAGGCAGGGCTTCTGATCCTAGCTCTGACACCGATTCACTGGGTGATCACGAGCAGTTCACTATACTACTGTGCCTCAATTTCCCCAGGCATAACTTGCCATAATACTCCCCCTCCCTCAGAGAGGAGGATGTGAAACACTACAAGACCCTCAGAGGCAAGCTACTGAAAGGGCAGGTGTCCATCCATCTGTCCCCTGGGATGCTCCAAATGGCTGAGTCATTCTATCCCTTTCAATATTACTTCAATATCTGCCTTCTTTGCTCTGCGGTAGCAGGCCATACTAAACCCGACTTGCCTGCCTGCCCCCATTTACTGCAACTGTGTATTTGGCCCTCACTGCATTTAATCCACAAAACGGACCCTTTGTGTCCTTAAAGCTTATTAGCTGCAGCTCAGGGAACCCCCTCTGTTCCACCTCACTTAGTCTTTGCCCTCTCTGCCTGCAGGAGGGTTGTCATACCATGCTCCATAGGTTCTTCCTTTTACTTCAGTGTAAAGCATTTGTAGACATTGGCTTCAAAAGCTACCTTGCATTCCAGCCAGGCCAAAGGAGCCAAGTGGGCATGGAAAGTTGGCTTTTCCTGCCTGTCATGGAGACAGGGGCTGAAGATCAAGCTTCCCAACAGGGTGGGGGCATTTGGCTCTGCAGTCTGTGGAGGTACTGGCAATAAAATGCCATACGATGCCAAGGCTCTTGGCATCTTCTGTCCCTTGTGTGCTGTTGACAACCTACCTGATAGTAGTAAAGCCACTAGAGCATAGTGGTCAAAGGGTAGGTGGAAGAGCTTACCGAGGGTAAAGCCAGGTTGTCTGCTGCCTCAAAGCTCTTCCTGCGGTGGATTTTGTACTTGTGGGCTGGCAGGAGGGTGGCCCTGGGAATGCTGACCCTGCAATCAACCAGAACCAGTTACAGCCTGTCCTCCACAGAAGAGATCTGAGCTGGGGGATGTGAACACCTTGTGATCTTCCTACCACCCTCAGAGGCTTTGAGCCTGACTCAGAGTCCACCAAAGTCAACAGGCTTTGATTAAGGTGTAGAGACTGCCATGGAAACCCAGACTGTGGCTGCAGATCAGCCCTGAGATCAGACTGCATTTGCCACTGCCTTCAGAGGGAGCGTGTCCAGCTCAGGATAAGCCTCATTGTGCCTCTGTTCCAAAAATCAAGTCCTCTCTCCCCACAGTGGAGCCACAAAAGAGGCACCTTAAAGGGGCCCCTCCCCCCAACTTTCCTCTCATTTTTCCTCCCTGGATATTTTCTAAAGATGTGTGTTGCAGCCCACCTGTACACACCTGATGTAGGCAGGTTCCTCCAGGGTCTCTGGGGGCCGTTGGGCTCTTGGGGTCTTACATATGGGGCAGGCAGATGCCGAGTCCACAGGGACAGGAAAGAGGTGCTTGTTCAGCCGGTAGCAGTAGACACCTGCCATGCAGAGAAGGGAACTTGGCTGCATGTGCAGCTTCCTGTGTGTTCTCAAACCCACCACCTGTCCACTGAGACCAACCCACCTGGGCTCCCAAAGCACCTCTTATATGATAACGTCGCCCTTCCAACTACTTTCCCCAGTGCACTATAAATTAAATGCGCTTCCTCAATTTCAGACACCACAAGGCAGGTCAGTTATGGGGAACTTTGGGGACATGGAGAGATTCTGTCTGAAGGCAAATGAATAAAGGACCCAAGTCTCTCAGGAGTGAAAAGCTGCAGCTGCAGAGTAAATGTTGTGGTTAGGCTGTGAACTCTTCCTCTGCCTTGTCTAAGAGGCCTGGGGCTCCCCCAGGAAGACAGCTGAGCCCACAGCTGCCCGTTCATACACACAGGGTGAGGAGATGAATCTCAGCTTACACTGATGGGAAGTGGGAACCAAATCTGCGTCTTGTTCAGGAGCCAAGTAATCCAGGGACTCTGGCCTAAAGGAGCAAAGAATCAGTCAAGAGCAGTGGGTCCCAGAGAGCTGGGATTGCAATAGCACTGGGAGGCACTGTGTGGTTTAGTCCTCACTTCAAACAGACATGGGAGAATTCGGTATGGATTTAGTGAACAATTTATTTACTTTGCATGCAAACCAAGAAACAAGAGCTTTTCTCAAAACAAACATCCAGCTGTGGGCAGAGGAATTTGTTTGCTGATAAGGACTTCTGTGGAACACCTCTGAAGTCTATTGCAATCACTTCCAGACATCCCAGCTTTCTGGGCTATGCAAATAAAGTGCTATATTGGTCCCTGTTCACAATACCTCGAGAGAGGGAGTCTGCACTCCACAATCTGCAGATGGGTTGGATAAAGCCACAAGACTTCCAACCAACAGCACCTAATGGGGTTGTCTTTTAAGCCCACCAGGGTTTCATCTGCTCTCTCTCTCAGGGATGTATGGATCAATACCTCCCACCTCCCAGCCAGCCACCCTGTCTCCTGCTCCAGAGAGGAGGTACCAGACCCTCTCTCCATTGTTCACTGCCACCCTATTCCCAGACTTACTCGAGGCATTGCTCATAGACACATGCTTCCTTGTTCACCAGCCGGAACTCCTTGAGCTCAGCAAAGTACTGCTCAGACTTCTCCGACACTGAAGAATCTGTCTCCAGCAGCCCTGGAAAACCAAGGAGAGAAGAACAATTCACAGTTGGACCAGATAGGGGCAGACAGGTGATCAAATAAACCTCATGCAAAGTGGACAAAGAAGCAGGCCCTGAGTGCCCAAAAAGGAAGGTGATCCAGGTGGCACAGTGCCTTGCCTTGCCTTGCCACTGACGGAGGACAGCCAGAGACTTCATCTGAGACAGCAAGCCCAGAAATTACCCAGCTTCCTAATTTGGTTCATCCATCATTTGCAGGTTTTTGCCTATTGTGGCTTCGCTGCACCCTGCCAGCAGCCACATGGACTCTATGCCAGGCTCTGCACTGCCCTTCTAGAAAAGCAGCTGGCTGGGTCAGCTACAATGCTGAGATTAGCTGCCAGCCCCCAGATTTTGGCAGTGCTGGGGCCAGTATGTGCATCACCAGAGCTTTCTCTGCCCCTGCCCCAAAGCCACTGCACTAATTGCACTCTAAGCCTGCATTTCTCCATAGGTGATAAAGAGCCCAGTCAGGCTGACAATAACACAGGTGTGCCATGGGTGTTGTACTCACCTGCAATCCAGTCATAGCCCAGAAGAGGCCGCACTGACCAGCTCTCTGCAGGGATAGTGTATTCCTCAAGGGTGTCCTGAAAAGTCACGTGCCCTGCTTCCTTCTGGGTGGAAAAAAATATGAAGCTCACCACAGACCTCTAATATTGTGCTTCTCTGACCTGGGGTGTTTGAGCCTTATTTACCAGCTGTATAAATGGGGCAGCTGTGGTCCAATGGCAAGAGCTGAGAGATCCAAGCTCCACTGACTTATTCACGTGCTGCTCTGTGCCTCAGTTTCTCCACGTGTAAGATGGAGGCAGCAGTTACGTGACTTGCCTGAGGCTACATAGCAAGTTAATGTCAGAGGTGCCCTTAGAATGCAAAGGCTCCCGACCCGGCTGTCCTGACTGTCACTGCTCAAGGAAGAGCTAGCTGACTGCGCTGCCACGCATCTGACCAGGGGGATGGTAGCCAGGAGGCCTGCAATGGGACAGGGGAAAGTGTGGAGAGGTCACAGCCCGGGCCTGAGACTCCTTGGTTGGTTCTGCACCTGCCTGTTGAACTACAGGCAGCCAGTCCTGCACTCTACCTCTCCCCAAGTCTGTGCTGCTCAACTCAACAGGCGGCTCAGGTTTTACCTTGGCCTCTCTACACTGAGGCATCAGCAGGATGGACTTAGGGCGCCTGGGCTCCCTAACAAGCACGGGATGCTTGCCATTCTCCTCCGCTTGTGCCTGGTTCAGCACCGGCTCCAGCTTGGTCCCCACCCTGCCTTTCTCTTGAGGGCTGCGCAGGGTGACAAACTGCTCGCTGCCCTCTCTGCGTCCCGGAAGCAGGGCCTCTCCGTCTGGGCTTCTGCTGTCTCGAGCTCCTCTGGAGGCACCCCTGGCACATCTGGTGACAGCAGCTGCTGGTGTGGAACTTCTTTCTGCCCCGAGTGAGCCCCCCTCCAATTCTGCCGCTTTCTGGGTGCTTGTCCTGTGCCGCGACGCCCCTCTGCCCTCCCTGCCCCGCTCGGTGGGCTTCACGGGTGAGCAGAGCGCCGCCCGTGCTCTGCTAGGGCTGGGTTCCACCAACACCAGCATCCTGGGGTCAGACGTACCCTCCGTCACCGGGCCTTGGTTTTCTTTCTGTAACGAGCATGGAGACCCAGCTACGGCAGGGCACCAGAGACCCTGGCCCGCTCTGCAAAAATGGCCGTGCCAGAGGGACTCGACCTCTCCTACCCTTTCTGCTCACCCCCTGCCAGCGCCACGCGCTAGGCATCCCTGGAGGAATTCAGGGACGGAAAGGGAAATACCAAGTGGGCGGCCAAGGCAGCAGGGCGCTACCTCCAGCCTCTCTCCTCACGCAGATGGAGGAGGAGGACGTTGCTGCGACGCAGGCCGCGAAGTGGTGCCCCCCCCCCCCCCCCCTTAAGGGGGGGCTGGAAAG